CAACCTACCTTTAACTTACTGATCCTCATTACCCACACATACTGGTCTACATTACCCGCCAAGTTATTTTTATTCGCAGTTTAGAGTTTTTTGAAATATAAAGCAATAACATTTTGATAGACAAATATATATAATGTCTGACCTGGGGGCCTATTCTGTAACTTTTAACAACATTCGATATTGTTTAATTTCCTTTTGTTATTGTAAAAACAACAACACAAACAAATGAAATTGTTGTAAAATAAACAATGTCGAATATTGTTAAAAAGTTACAAAATAGGCCTACTGGAATATATTTACCCAACAAATCTACTATGTTGTGAAAACAATTTGTTTTTAGTTTTTACCGATGTTACGCCCACAATATCAAAAAAGAAAATGGTGGTCCACATTACCCGAAGTTGCTCTATAAAATACATGTATATTAGAATATCGTTACATTTTTTAGATTTCCGACATGTAAAAAACTACTATTATCAGTGTTCCGTTTTTTTACTGTTGTGAACCATGTACCGGTTCACAACAGTAACTTTTAATGAGTTTGTGTTCCTATTCAAACTCAGCAATTAATTAAGCACAATTATGGGCAAGAAATATTTAATAAGGTGCGAACATCATTTGTTGTTTTTGAGCACCTAAATTGCCAAATTGGTGTTCGTTACCAATATCTAAAATAAAACATGAAAAATTTTATATGTATAGCCATGGTATAATAATAGAAGGTAACAGCAAGTGTTGTTGTACAAAAAACGATACAACAACCACATGAAAATTTGTTTTTGTAAGTTCTACTAGTGTCAACGCATTTGACAGAAAAATGTAAACAAACAAACAAATTATCATCAAATTATTTTTATTTTGAAAATGAAATATTTTCGAATCCTCAAAATAAAAATTGAAAAACATGAATGAAACTCTATCAAATTTCTATTTATTCCACATCTTTCCTATAATTGAGTCATTGCCATATATATGTGTAACACATATGAAAATGCTGGGAATAGCGAGTTATTCCTTGAAGAAAGATTTGCTTCCTCAAACTTTCCCAGCAGACAGATTGGGTAAATTGAATACAGGAGGACATTTAATAAAGAACAATTTTAAATTGCATGCGTTCCCAATTTTCCTGTTGGGTGATTTTTCAAAACATAATTTGTCAAATTCCTATTGACACTAGTATTACGTTGGAATCAAATCAGCTGGGATTTGCTGTTACCTTTTATAATTGTACCATGATGTATAGCATATCGGACTGTTTAATTATTTTTCTATGTGTCAATGTTGCCGTGTGCCAAAAAAGGACAAACTGCCGTTACTCATTTAAAAATGTAACATCTACGCCGTTTGTTACAAATTCAATGGCTCCAGACACTGTGTTCATGCACGGAAATATTTAATGGCGCCGTCGATTACATTTATAGTGCGACTGGGTTCTCTGGGATGGAAGGTGCTTGCTAAAAAATACGCAGAAAATATACTAATCCAATAGCAAATTGTAAATAAATTATAAAAAATCGTTTGTTTGCGAGGTCACTTGGGCAGAAATATGAATGATTTGATATCATAAAATTCCTGCCTCACATGTACTAGTTTGTGTTTGTGCTCTGTAATAAAAACGGTCTAAATCGAATAGACTAGTTAATCACTTTGAAGCTTTCTACGCTTTTTTGTATGCAGACGCCAAAAAAGTAAATAAAACATTATTTTTTGTCAAGTGCAGCAGCGTTTGTGCATTACTTCATCCCTACATACTTTTTAGCGCGTAAATATTGTGCACTCTGTTCGTTTTTGTATCTGAGACATTATCGACAAAAATTTGTAAGTATAACATAAACAACTGTAGCAACAACAACAACAATATACGAAGTGTGATGTTTGTGTACGAATGTGGGTTCATGTATCTTAACTTGCTTCAAATGCACCAAAAAAGACATACAGAAGTGCATCCATGTCCATTCGTACCTACATACACTCGCACAGAACTCTGACAAATGAGTAACAAACATTCGGTGCGACGGCGAATAAAGGCAGGGACGCCACTTTCGTCAAATATTCAATAATTTCTTTTGTATCAGTTAGGCAACGAAGAACAAAGCCAAGAGGCGGAATCTGAATGTCGTGCCGCCGCTTCTACTGCCAAAATGCGTTCGCCGAAGAAAACACAAATGTAAACATAAACTTTTAAATGTTTGTAAAATAATAATATATTTACGCATATAAATGTTTTTAAGGGAACTTTTATTTGAAATGTGTTTAACTCATCAAAATCATCAATTAATTGTCAGAGCATGATTGGAAGCAAGCAATTTAATTCATTAATGTGGATCCATCTACAATAGATTGGAAATAACTCTAGTAAAAATTAGACGATTTTTATTAAATTCATTCCAAAATTATACATTTAAGTAATATAGGGTAAACGCACCTAATTCCAGCATGTACCAATAGTCGGCATCTGTTTTATATAACTTCAAATAACTAAAAAATCCTGTAACTAAATATGAAAAATACTTTTAATAATCTTCAATAACACTGCAACCTATCTCTGTATAAAATTTAATCGAGCTAAGTACATTTATTCAGTCAAAATTTGGCATTTGGTCAAGGAGGTTTGTCAACCCTAGCTATAATTCATGTTTCTTAAGAAAAAATAGTGGTGAATAATAAGCACCTTTTCGATCATTTTGGCTCAAAATTGAAAAAAAATATTAAATAAGTGCTCTAAATAACGATTAATTTATAAAATATCAGTTTTGAGTGGTTTTACACAATGGAAGACATTGTTTAATCTCAAATTTTATTAACCTCTGAAATGTCTTATTTAGTCATGCCGAGAATTGGATAACAGGTTCCCAAAGTCGGCATCATGTTTTATAATTATAATATTTTAATAAATAATATTGTTTTATATATCTTTTTCCATACAACACTGATGGAAACGTCCCATAGTAATAATTGATTATTGCAAATGGCAGAAAAATCGATTAAATATGTAATTTTTCTTTAACTAAAATGTAACATAACATGCCGACAATTGGAAAAAAATGCCGACTATTGGCACAAAGGCACTATTTTACATAATTATTACTTTAATATAATTTAATACAAATTAATTAAACAAATTTTTATTCCATCGGCGAGTAAACAAAATTTCGAAACAAATGAACCTAAATACAGTATCGTGGAAAAGATGCATTTGGAATGGTAAAACGTTTAAAAAGCGAAAATTCATAAAGTGCCGACTATTGGTGCATATTAAATGACATAATTGGCTCGAAATTTTATTTTTATTTTTTGTTAAACGGCTAATGAGACATAATTATTTTGACCTTTATTTTATTAAAGGAGTATATGTTCTCACCAAAAATGATTGATGAGCAGATATAAGAGAAAATGTTCCCACTGTTTTCTGTGGAGTGCTTTGAAGTTAATATCTCAAACGCAACTAGTGTATATGTATTAAATAGATATGATAAAACGGCATTTACATTAAATCTCTTACCGGGTTAACCTACTCTATAAGGATTTATTTCAAATGTATACAATGGAATTGACAATTGAAACCCACTGGGTTAACGAAATCCGGTACAATGTAAACATATTATAAGATTTAATATCCGAAAAATAAATTTAAAAAAATCAAATTTTATCAAACTTTAGAATCTCTAATAAATGTTTGAGAACAAAAATGTGTTCAAATTCAAATTTTTATATAATTCATTGTCTGTTCTCGTACTGCGAGAGTTTACTTGTTTTTATTTGACAGAAGAAACAACTACCTACATACATAGTTGCGTTTTTGTTATTCACAACAAGTTGTACCATGATATAACCTACACTACGAGTTGTTCAATAATACGAAGTTCGGATAATTAAATAGGGTTCCATTTAAGCGATCTGAAATTCAAATACATTTACTTTTTATTAAAATATCCTTACATTAAAAGTCAAATTTTGAAAAAGTCTAAAACAATTTTGATTAATAGAAGATTTTTACAGTTTCATATTACAGGTTTATTATTAATATAAAAATTGCAAAAATTGGAATGTATAGTTTTTTTTCTTATATTGGTAAATATGTGGCCAATCGCGCATATTATTTGATTTTTAGTACATACTAATTATTTTAATGCTTTAATAATAAAGGTTAAAATCATGGCACAATGAATAGGTAGTCCATTTAGCGCAGCTGATGTCTTGATTAATTGTCAAAGTGGATAATTTCTACTTCAATTCGATGGAAAAAATTGAAAGATAATCGGTTTTGAGTTATTGCCATATTTTTAAACTTCAACCAAAAAAAGTCAATTTCATAAAAAATCTAATTGGTACTGATTCTCAACCTGAGTTAAATAAATTAAACAGATCATTGCTAACTTATTTTTTAGATGTTTACAAAAAAGTGACTATACCACATTACCAACCTATACCACATTTGCATCACCTCTGATTCGAAGCAAGGTATAAGCCATGGTCCAATTAAAAAGACGCGTAAGAGGCGAAATGATTTCACTCGAACTGTCAAAATTTGACTTAATCATGTGAAAATATAGACAAAAAATTTGATAGTTTGAGGGATTTTCTACCAAAATGACGGGTAGCTATCAAAATTTGACTTAATCGTGAAAATTTGACTTAATCGTGCGAAAATGTAAACAAAAAATTTGGCAGTTTGAGGGATTTTCTACCAAAATGACGGATAATATTCGCCTCTTACCCGACCTGTTGATTGGACCATGGTATAAGCTTCAATTTTTTTTTGTATTTAAAAAATAATGAGGTTTCTACCCCATTAAATTGACGTCGATCTGAATTGTGTAAGACGATATCGTGTTCGAGTTCATATTTAAATAACTGTATACATAATTTCAGGTTGGTTACATTTTTCCTAGTGTACTGTACTTTTCACCGGCGGTATCAAATATGACCGGCTCTGTTCTGTTGCAAGTAGTATGTCAAAAGTAGATAGCAATTAGTATTTGTTTACGTTCGCCAAGACTTTATTATTCGTCAACTAAAAAAGGTGATTTGTTCTATGCGGTGACTGCATTAGAACAAAAACTACATGGGTAGCGTTTTGTGGCGATCAAATAAAATACGACGCTTAATTATGATGGTAAGCTTGATGGTGGTAACCCACGTGCAACAACTGCTATTACAAAAAAAAAAAAATAAATAGATAACATAAATACAATGGAGACAGTGTTGTGCCAATGTTTATAACAAATTTCAGGAGACCGACATACATATTTACGTTTTGTTATTGTGATTATATAAATATAAATTATTGCTATGATCTAGGTGCATCGATTTTCGTCTACAGCAAAACATTGCAACATATCATTTACATGTGGCCAGAAACGATGAAATGATAACAAGCCACGGACTAACGACGAAGTGTTAACGAAAAGTTAAAAATCGAACAAATATCGTTGATATGAGTAGAACGCTATGATGTTTTATAAAAATAGTGAATATATTTCATATTGAATGGTAAAAGTGTTCTAGATATTAAGCTGCCATTAGCCGACAACCTTTATGTGATAATATCGCCAAAGGAGATCGGTGTATATATCTGAGTAACTATGTATATAGGTATATATAACAACTGGAATCGTACTCGACCTAGTATAGTCACCCAAAGTTCATTATTTGTCAATAATACCATACAAAAGATACCCCAGACATCTACGTCTTGGGGACATGAAGATCGTACTATGTATTGCATATTTTATAAATATATTGCCTAAGTATTATACATGAAAGACAATAACATAATGAAACAAATAGCCATTCAAAAGAACGCCTTTAAACAAGCTAAAACTAAAGTACGAACAATTTCCAAAAAAAAAAGAACAAAAACCAAAAAATGCATAGTGTCTGTGAAATGAAGGATCGATTCTCTTTTGTTTAATTTTGGGCTCTCTGTTTTTTATTTGATAGAATTTTCAGCTCTTCCATTCAATAACGTAAACATAGCATCCGTTTCTTACTCTCACTCAGATAGATATGTAGATGCCGAAATGGTCATAGTTTTTTCAAAAGTTCGTTTAGTAACATTCAGAACTTGAATTCGTTCGCAACATCAACGTGAAACTAATGCAGAGTCCCAGACGCCAAAGAGCGAATACGATCGTATAGGCATTTTTCGTTTGTACGACATCTTGTGATTCGTAAAGAGAGATATCCACTTCATTGTCCAAATAGAAGTATTATTTATAGAAACACGCAATGGAATGAAGAAATGAGATCTGTAATTTATTAAATTGTATTGACTAAAATCGAAGCAACAAATATTGTCCGATACAAACAAAAGCCGTTGTATATCCGTTTGGAAGTTGTATAATTTCATTGAGAGACGCAAAATTTGGAGATCATGTCAAAAATTCAAAGAAATGGCCAAGCAGATTCCTCCAATACGTCGTCTTCGCCAAGCAATCGACCACGAAAACGATTTAAGAAATGCTGTAGAAATTTTGTTACATTCATGTGTACACAAGTGGGTGTTGGTGCTCTCATCGTAATATATGCTATATGCGGGGCATTTTCCTTCAGGAAAATTGAAGGGGAATCCGAAGATACTAAAGAGGCCGAGGTTGCTGGATTGCGTAGTACATGTGCCGAGGAACTCTGGAATATAACCGAGACGTACAACACTCTTGATAAACCAACATGGCAGAATAGCACAGACATAATTCTACAAAACTATCAGAGACAAATTGCCACCATAATAAAACAGGGCTATGATTATAGAAAACCTGCTGATATTTGGTCGTTTCCAGCGGCACTGATGTTTTGTTTATCGGTTATAACTATGATAGGCTATGGTAATATGGTCCCACGAACCCCATGGGGTAAGGGTTTTACTGTAATTTATGCAACTTTTGGAATACCCTTGTATATTCTGTATTTCTTGAATATGGGCAAAGTTTTGGCTAGATCATTTCAGTTCCTGTATCGAAGTTTACATGAATGCACTCACGAACGTTCCATTGTAGATCATCGTTTAGAGGCTCTGGAAAATGGCAGCTTACGCAGCCTACATCGAAAGAAAATAATTGTACCATCAACAGCATGCCTATGGGTTATTATATTCTATATACTCACTGGCACAATTATGTTTGCCAATTGGGAGAAATGGTCGTTTCTAAATTCATTCTATTTTTGCATGACATCGCTATGCAAAATCGGATTCGGCGACTTTGTTCCTGGCGCTTCCTTGGTCACAGGGTCGCTTATTGCCGAAACTAGTAAAAAAGTTCAGGAAGATCCCACTATCGACCCTAATGCCGTAACAAAATTGCAAAGGTCTATTGCCGAACAGCACTCTAAACTGGCAATCAACTTTATTTACATGTTAATTGGAATGGGCCTTGTGGCCATGTGTTATAACCTTATGAGAGAAGAAGTGCGTGTAAAACTGAAGGAGCTAAAGGAAGATACCAAACTTTGTCTGGACGATACACGTAGCCGTTTCGTAGGCTGCTGTGGAGGTCGTCATCGGGACGTTTATGATGACGATGATGATGATGGAGATGATTACTATTAAAGTTGTGTGTTTTATTTCTACAACAATCATCTACGCATTAAGCATATTTTTTAAATAAATAGTCAATTAGTATAATTAACTTTTAAGTGCATACATTCATTCATTGACGTCGATGTTTTGCGTATATAGTGTGGTCCAATGTGTTGGCGTCATCAGATACTATTTTTAAGGTAAAATAAAAATTGACTGCAATATATAGAATAAAACGGTATCTTAACAAATAAATGTAAATACATTCTCATGAAATATAGATAATCAGAAATAGGAACGATTATAATTCACAAGATTTTATTTATTTTTGTTCGCTTCATTGCCAGTTTTGGTTTTAATTACTAAATGTCGTCCTTATTTACATATTATTAACAAAGGATTTTCTTTGTTGGTCGAGCAAAATCGGTATTTGATTTTGCAGGTACTCTGGAATTTGATATATGGGCATTTCCAGGAAAAGGAAATTGCCTTTAGATACGTGAAGTTACTGCAAAAATTGCTAAGAAGAAAAACTGCAAAATCAAAAATGTCGCGTGTGTGATCCCGAAAAATACTTCACAAAAAGCACAGGCCAAATTTTGAAACTGCTGGATATTTCTTAATTATGTAAAAGATATTTAAAGTTCAAAATGTTGTCGCAGAGGTTTCCCATTATTAGCAAAGTCATGTATATTTCAAGTCCCGTGAGTGACCACTATTATGTGGCTTTTATCTCAAAAAATAAAAACCGGAGGCTCACAATTTGTTTACCACTGATAATGTTCCTAAAATTCTACGAAAAAAATATTGAGGGTGAAATATAAAAATGCAAATTATGTATTTATTTTGCCTCCGAAAGTCATGTGACTGCGGAATTGCACATACAGCAAACATGAAGTCTTTTCCCAATTTTCTATTTCATTATAAAATAAGTATTATTTTAACAGCGGAAATATTCCAATATATATTATTTATTATTGCATTTTAAGGTAACCATTGAACACTTTTATCAATTGCAAAAACGTGTCACGAACTCTGAGGTAATGCTTGGTGGCAGTGCGGATCGTTTATGCACACCAAGCACATCAGCTGGCCCCTTTCGAATATTTTCTGTTGCTGGGTTCCAAAATAGGACCAACGATATAGTTTATTGTCCGCCAATCATAAGGCAACATAATCAAAATGTGGACGATTCTACGGCTGTTGTCTACTTCGGTGGGGATGTACAGGTAGGTAAAGTTATATGTCAATGCAAATAAATAAAATATTTTTGTATGGAATTATTACTTATCACTAATATTCAGCAACAATAATAATAATAATATATGAAACGTATTATAATTTTAGGATTTCCCAGAAAGTATGGAAACCAATCGGGACAGTCGGGGTTACATGAAATACAATCTAGAAAATTCCGCCATTCTATTGCGTGAAGCATTTCCACGGTCCCATATTATAGTCGTGAGACCTGTGAGGTAAATATGAAGAAACCGGAACTGGAAATAATTGTGTACCAGTTTGAAATCAATAATACATTTATTAACTTTAAGATTTGTAGAAATCTATTTTAAACCATAAATCAATATATTGTGTATATATTTAGCATCCATTACTCAAATTAATGTTTGAGTTTCGACTAGCTTCAAGTATGTGAGCCTTATGTATTTTTATTTATATTCATTTTTAGAATGGAATTTAAGACATTCAGCTGTTTTGATAATTTTGTGCGAGGAAATAATGCTGGTGTGCCGGATCACACGCCAATGAATCATGCGCTACAACATTTGGAAAAGTGAGATTCCGGTTTAATAAAATTGTAAAAAGTTTCCTATTAATTATTCAAACTTTACCCACAGATTATTACAAAACTTATCTCAACGCTTGATATCGATACCAGAAAATGAAATATTAGACCAGGCAGCCCAGGCTGCAGCCGCTGTTGCAGCTGCTGCTGCCGCCGCTGCTTTAGTCTCATCTACATTGTCAAGTGCTTCTTCCGATTCCTCATCGTCATCATCAAACGCAAGTGATAGCAGTCAAGAGATGGACATCGATATTTTACAGGTAAATAGTTTTCGTTTCTATACAGTACACCTATCATATGTTCATATTTTAAAGGTTCAAGAAAATGTAACTGTTGACGCGGACGGAGCCGTTATATTTCCAAATTCTACTGATGTAAATTCCCCATCTACAAGTGGATCCATCCGATGTTCAGATAATGGGACAAATGAGGGAGGCTCAATATTAATCAACAATCCTTGTGACACATCGCCATCTGCTTCTATTATCAATCCAGCACAACAGAATTTAGCGCAAACTGAGCAGAATCATGACAAAATGCAACATTACAACAATTTAAATAACAGTAACGATTGTTCGTCTCAACATCGACAACAGCATCAGATTCCAACACAGTTGTCCACTTCGCAACAACACTCTAATCCATTGTGGTGGCGTGAGAACCTGAATTTAGACAAGTCCAAATTAATTTTGATCGGCTTCAGCAAGGGCTGTGTCGTACTCAATCAAGTGAGTCCTTATAAGCGGTGTAAAAATCGTAACATTTGAAAGTAGCATTTACCCTATATTTATCGTATCGTATTCATTAGGTATTTTTGTAATTGACAATATATAAGAATATTGGTGTATATTGCAAAATTCTCGGGCATGAAAGGTAATATGATAGGAAAGGGTTGTTTACAAAGTATCAATGGTTTTAGTTTTTACAGATAAATGATTAAATTGACTTGTGAAGATTTAAGTTTGGGTAAATAAGGGACCATGTTGGGTTACGCAATATTAAATTGTACATGTTTGATATAAAAAAAAACCTTCATGCCTATAGTTTTTTCATTATTTAGTATATTCTAAATGTTGTATGTAATAAATAGTGATAATTCAACATATGTATCAATTTGGCATTCTTCAGATGGTAACATATAGATTTGTATGATTTCAAAAATATATATTTTTCTTACTTTTAATTTTCAGTTCATTTATGAGTTTCACTATTTGAAAACACTAACTCCAGATGATAGCACTATGGGGCGATTGCTCTCACGCATCAAAGATATGTATTGGTTGGACGGCGGACATGGAGGTCAGAAAAATACATGGATTACATCAAGAAGTTTGCTGGAGACTTTAACCAGAATGGGTATGCTATTTCAACAATTCATTAATGTCATTAAGCCTTAAATATTTTTCAAATCTACATACATTTCACAGCTATAAACATACACGTACATTTAACCCCATACCAAGTACAGGATGACCGCCGACCCTGGATTCGAAAGGAAGAAAAAATATTTACTGATTTACTCAGACGTTTAGGGGCACAAATAACACGGCATTTGCACTACGACAGCCAAACTGCTAATTTGATGACTCATTTCGAAGTATTACAGGCTTTTTGTCAACACATTCACAACCAAAATCAACAAATACAGTCGGGGTCAATGCAACAGCAGGTGCAGGTGGCAACACAACCCAATGTACAAAATAGTGAACATCAACAGCAGCAGCATCCACTTCAACACCAACCACAGGCCAATGAAGAAAAGTGACATCGCCACCACCATCATCATCACCACCACCGACGACGGTCTAATCACTTTCATTATCACAACTTCCACAACAATCACGGTAAACAGCTGTCACACAAACACAAACAGTCGAAGTCGATGCAACATCATCAGCATAGTCAACAGCAACAGCAGAATCACATATTGCATTGTATAGCTTCTGCGGCAGTAGCTGCTGCGTCGTCATCTACAAGTGGGTTGGCCGCAGCAGCCGCTGCTCTCGTCATAAACAGCAGCACTGTTGCCGCCGCAAACGCTGCTGGTTCGGCTACTCTTTCGGCATCCTCGTCATTAGCGACTAATTCAATTGTAAATATAAATCATACAAACCATTTATTTAACTATCAATCTTACCAATCTACGTCGCAAAGATATCGCCCCAATTACAATATGCTACTGAACAACACTCCGATGCAAAATAACCCTACCCAAACGCAATCTGCAACTGCAAACAACATAATAAACGTGTCCGCAACATCTTCACACAATTCCAATTATAACAATAGTAATCACCATAATCATCATCACCATCACCACCACCACAATCATCAATGTAAGTCGAAGCGTAAATTACAAAAATTGTATTATACCCTATGTCGCTGAATCTCTTGCGATTGGAATAGTTTTTGTCCAAGCCTTCAACGTTTCCTCATCGGAGGAATGTAGAGAGTAGAAGGTAAATTCTCTTTAAACTATATGTAATATAAGCTATAATATAATATTATGAGTATCTTCGCGCATTATTGGTTTTATTTTTATTACAATTTTTATCAAGACCCCACAAACAAACAAATTATATTATTTTTTTTATAATTTTGCTCCAGTGCAATAAAGTTATAAGATGTCCATTTATGTCCTTTTCGATAATGTATTAAGTTTTCGAATAACTTCGAAACATTTAAACTTATCTTCCCATTATGACTGCATTTGTTTCGCTCAGACGTTACATTTTATTTAATTTATTCTCATACAAATATAGTCTAATAAAATGATATAAGTGAAAATTACTCATTTTCAAAGTAACATCTGCTTTTTCATTTACATTTAATGGATGGGTGGAAGGAAGGGTAGGCAATGTTATAGGTAGGTAGATATTACCATGGAATGTATAAAGACAATACGGAAGATTTAAGCGGAGTTTTATGCAATTTAGGGGCGGAATTAAAATATTTTGGGTGAGAATCTGCTATTCAAATTGTTTGCATACATATTGATTTGTATGCTGTATTCTTACCGAATTTTTGTTGTTTAGTTTGATATAGATTGCTAATTTATTATGTTTATTCTTAATATTTTATCTTATCAGACTTCACAATATAATATTAGAATACAGATCGGCCTTACAAAAATGCAATTCATATCTTTGCATTATAAAAATAAATAACAAGCAAGAGTTTAAACAAGTAAAAAGTGTTAGTCGATGTTGTCGACGAATATATACCCACAGCCTATGCTTTGCGGAGTCTACGGAATAAAACACAGGTTGTATTATTCGTTTTATATAAGGTATATGTTTTTTATCAAAGAGTTGACCATCTTTGGGGAGGTACCAAAGGTAGGTTTAGAAAAATATTACGATTTGCTAAGTTTGGATGAAATTGGATATTATATTCGCTCAATATTAGATTTACCAGTTTTCAAAATTTTTTACACTTTGTGGGTGAGGTATTTTAAGGAGCGGGCCGATAACTCCCATCTTACAACATTATACAGGCATTGTTAAAATATTGGGTTGTGCAAAGTTTAATTCAAATCGGATAGTCAATTCAATTTTTTTTCAATTTCAATTTATTTCACAAACGAGAATCTAGCCCAAAGGGCCTAGAGCGATTCAAAAAACAACAAAATATAGACTACTCCAAAATAATATCTTAACGTCTATTTAGTTGAAGGGGTTCAGATCCATTGTACTTCAAAAACATTTTTATTATTATAATTAGATTATTTGATGTAGCGACATAGCACATAGGGCCAAGGACTACAATATTATATCTCCTCTCAACCACTAATTACAATTTACAGGTTTAAATATCTCATTATTATATCACAATCATCAATATAAAAGAAAATAATTTATTATAGCTATAATTATTTAAATGTTGAAATCAGTTATGCAATAAAAACACAAATAATTAAACAAAACCCATGAATTTTAAGAGGAATTGAGGTTGAAGTAATCATACAAATGAGTTCGATAACATTTTAAGGAAGAGCTAAATGTTTTAAGAGTAGGCGGTAAGGTATTGAAAAGTCTAGAAATTGGCACAAAAAGAGTTTTTTCCAGGAAAGGACACAACAGATATAGAAAACATAAACAAATCAACTACCGAGGAAGGAGTCTGCAACTTAAATACCTTGTATAACAACAACATTGACCTCAAACTCACAAAACTTTCAAAGGTACAACCGAGGAACTCTTTAAAGTAAGGGGAAATGTGATCACGACAATATACATATCGCATAACCCTTTGGAACAAGAGTTTAATTTTACGTAAAACATATCCACAACAACCTCCAAAAATCTCAATACAATACAAAAAATTGCAAACCTAATGCTCTTAGGTGGAGCCATATCCAAAGAGTACAACTTTCTTAAAATAAAGTTTACCTTTACATGCCCGTCAAACACCAAACTACTATCAAGAAACAAACCAAGACATTTCATAGAGCTTACAACATTTATAGAATTATTATAAATGGGAACATTTACTGAATTCTCTTGCAAGTTCCCAAAAAACATAGCTTTACTCTTTCGTGTATTAATTGAGAGTCCGTTTGCAGATAACCACGTTACTAACACATTAATATTAAAATTTATAGAGGACTGCAAAACATCTAAAAAAAACACACATATTCTCCTTTAAACAAAATCTGCAAGTCATCAGCAAATGCAAAAGACATGCAGCTTCTACTACTAATACAACTTAGCAAATCATTATCATACATAACAAACAATAGAGGACCAAGTACAGACCCCTGGGGTACACCACTACTCACAGGGAGCATTGCAGAAACAACAAACATACTGCTCCCTTCCGAACAAATACGACGAGATAAGTTTACAAGCTGAGGACGAATAATTGAACAAACGATGCAATTTTCTGATTAAATTGGCATGATTAATTTTGTCAAAGGTTTTCTCTAAGTCTACTGACGACAACACACAACAACCTCCCGCACCAACAGTCTTTCTTATATTGTCAGTCAATCCAACAAGAAGAGATGCTGTGCCGCAATTACTCCTAAATCCATACTGGCACTCATGTAAAAGATAATTTTCCCCAATATAAACTAACATTTGATCTTTCATGACATACTCAACCATTCTAGAAAGAATCGGCATTCTTTTTTTGAATAGGCACTATGTTTGCAATTTTCCACATTTCTGGAAACACAGACATTGTTAACATAGAATTGACAACGTGCAACAAAAATTGACCAAGAAGGGGAAACACAAGCTTTAGAAACTTTAGCTGAAATCCATCATATCCAACTGCCTTGGACTTGATTTTATTGAAAGCTTCAACAACCCCAGCATAATCAATTGCACGGAAAGAAAAACCATCAAAATCATCAAAAGGAATACAAGAAACATCAAAAACATCTACGGATTGATTCGAAACAAAAGCTGAATTTAGAGCCTCAACATCAACATTCCCGACTTCTCTGTCATCAGTACACAAACCATTTTTATTTAAAATTGACCACACTTCCTTTGCGGATTTATTTGCAATAAATTTTAGTTTTCTTATAATTTTTTTGGCTCGGTTACGACAGCGACAAAACAATTTCCAATTTTCAACACTTTTATCCCAAAGATAGGACCTATGAGAAATATCACGAAGAGACAAATGATACCGAATTTCAGCAGACTTAAACCAGTCATCATTATTAATTTTACAAAATCTCCTTTTAACAGGAACTACAGTATACAAGTGCCGAAGACCACAGTTCAATATATCAAGCTGGGCATCAACATCTGCCACAGAATAAAGCTCACCAAAGTTGTATGCATCAAAGGCGTTGGAAAGCGCCACAGGGTCAACAGAACTGAAATCTGCATATTCATAAAAACTCTGCACACAAGAACTGGGAACATTAATTGATAAAAAGATGAACGAGTAATCAGAAATACTAGGGCACAAAAACAGATTTGAACATGCTACCAAATTCAGACACGACACAAGAAAATAATCCAACACATGATATTATAAAATTAATTTTGTTATGACTATTTTGTGTGGGAGGTACCAAAAGGAGTGTCCCATCTTCCAAACTAGAATTAAGTTTGAAAAAATATTACGATGTGTATATTTGACATCAAAACGGACATTCCATACCATTTTCATCGGATTAACAAACTTTCAAAATTTTTACACATTTCGGGTGAGGTATCAAAAGGAGTGGGCCGATGGATCCCATATTTGTATTCAATATGCTGGGTAAAAATATTACGATGTACAAAGCTGGGATGAAATTGAATATACCGTTCGCTCCGTAAGAGATTTACAAGTTTTCAAAATTTAGACCATTTTTTGAGAGAGGTACCAGAAGGAGCGGACCGATTTTCCCCATCTTCGAACTTAATATGTGTTTGAAAGAAATTTTACTATGGATTGGATTAAATCGGATTGAATTTTGATTAAATCGGACATTCCATTTTCCTAATACTAGGATAAAAAATATAGAATTAAATTATAAAAAAAGAGCATTTGTGCTTTTTACAAGAGTGGAATTTTCTATTCATGTCAATATTACTATTTAAAATATTACTACATATTCTTTTTCCTCTTTAAATACTGAAGGCACGTCTTCCTCCAGCTAGTCCACTTTCTATTAAAATAGAAGGTATAGGACCACACACCATATGCAACGAGGTCTTCTTATATTTTTAGTTTAGATCGATAGATAAAACACGTGGCAAATTAAGCGAAAGCTTAACACAGCGCCATTTTGTAAATTTTTTAAAGTCCGTAGGCGTAATAAACTCTTTAAATGCGTCTTTCTTGTGAGCAGTCCGAAGACGAACTGTACTACATATTTAATGTCAATTTTTCCAAGCTTCTAATATGTGTGAAATTTCTCCCAAATTGTCTGTTTAATTTTTCAATCTTAAGATAGGGAAGACTGGGGTACCTTCGGCAATGGCGTTTTCGATATGAAGCTCTCATTGTACATCACTAATTTTGATTCATAGGTATCTAATATCAAAATAAATGACTGTAGCAAAGTTTGAAATCTCTTGCTAACATGCTTATTTAGATGCGCGGGTTTTTGTGTTTCTACAGATGTTTTTATAATGTAAATATTTTGTGTATTTAACTTTTCAAATTTTAAGACAGTTTTATTAAAAAGTCGACATTTACAATGTATATTCTTATAAAAAAATTAAAAATGCATACACGTATGTTCTGGAACACACGCTGAGTTTTTTACACTTCACACATACACTGCACCTCAGAAGTTACCTCCTGTTCTGCTTCTCATGTGAATTGAAATTTTCGAACTTCTCCAAAACAAAAATAAACGTCAACATGGTACTTTGCAGAAATAGTGTTGCCATACAATACATTTTTAGTAAATTCGTTAATTCTAACGATAATTACATTATTATTTTATATATAGATTGTTTAGGAGAGCTAAAAAGGAATGTTTCTCATCCGGCTCGTATGGACCAAATGTTTAGGCGAGGAGTCTGCACTACTCCTCGCCGTGGTGATGTTTGGTCGGGGGTGATCAATTTATTAACTCTTGGGATCGGGGTGAAGCGACAACAAGAGAACTCCCAAGCAGTTCTGTGTAAGGAAAAGAAATTGCAAAGAAAATAAAACACAAGGATTATTAGGTTAAATATCTTGGATTTATTGGTGGTTCTTTCTTTTCGAGATTAACAACAAAATTACCTTTGTAATTTGGGGTGGCGACAGACAGTTAGTAGATAACGCGTAGACGTTATGCGTAGGCAAATTAACTCTGGTTAATGGTTCATGCAATCACAGAGGATTGCGGTGATCGCTGAGGATCGATTGTCGTTTACTACTACATTAACTTATTCCAATGGGAGAAAAGTGTCGAGCAAGGAGAGCAAACCAGAACAACCACCGCTCGGTGGCATCTGCACTCTACGGTCTCCGCTGAGGGAACTTGCAGAGGAGATGCCCGTGGTGTCAATCAGCAGACGTGATTGACTGAGCTCGGGAAGTTGAGTCAGAACGTATCAAACTTATACATTCCGGCCTCTTGCTACTACCTTCAAAGTAACAATTAACAATTTAATTGGAATATGGGTTAGTAAAATCTATATATGAACGTAAATTCAAATTTCAAGTGAGCTTCATGTTACAAATTTAGTAAACTCCACGAGTTTTGTAAACGGGTGATTTGTTTATTCAAACGATATTTTGATTTACTAAGGTGATCTATTATGGGTGGGAGATTAGGTGGCAGGAACTGAACCGGTCAGTATATACCCGAATATAGGCCAACAACGAATTTAAAACTAATTTTGGTGGTTCCAGTATTTGGGGGTAAAGATCAGCGCCAAGTAGCAAATCTATTGGGCTGCCGTCAAAGGTGTCAGCTAAATCTAAAGGAATTTTAGATTTCAAAGTTGAAATAGGAGGATGTGAGAACAATCCCCTTTGCTTCAACAGTTTTAGATGAGTTTTTGGAGGAAGTCAACATAAAAGAACACATTTCTCTTGATGTAGCAGGGTTGGATTTCTTCTTCGAATTACCATAAATGCCAAGTGCATTTTTAAGTTTCTTACTTACAACAGATACCTTGAATGAAGGATCAATAATGGCACGACCAGGATATGATTTGCCATTGTGAACAATATTTACCACTGCTGTTCCTAAGAGAACATTGGTATCTTGGGAGGGGTGAGGTATCGGTGGATTAACAACTTTTTTATTCGAAGAAAGGTGCGACACATTAGATTCTCGACTTTTGACTTTGGTAAAAGCCGGGGAAGGGTTTTCAAAAAAAAAAACGGGGCAACGAAGTCTGTCCTCGACTTTTGACCTTTGTAAAAGCCGGAGGTGACTTGGAGAAAGCAACAACTTTATTGATTATTGGCCGGTGGAGAAGGGTGTGGTGCCTTTGCTTGCATATAGTGCAACTATGTTTACTATTGCACGTTTTGTCCACGAAACAAAAAATTTACACAACATTTATATTTCTTAACAATCGAGAATTTGTCCTCAAACGAAAGTTTTAGAAATTGGGGGCAGAGTCGAAGATCGTGATTCTGATTGAGACAAATGGAGCAAGAAGTTGTGGAGGGTGAATATATAGCTCGAGGTGGGGTAACACATTTAGAATTACCGACAACAATTTATTGGGGGAATGAGGTGTAGCGATATTACTAGGCCACAACTTCTTAGAAGAGGCTTGAGAATGGATTTTCTTTGGCAAGAACATATTTTTGGTGGGGAGGATGTGTTCTAAGCAAGTCAATGTTTGTATCCTCTATGTGAGGAATGTGTCTAATTCTATCCAAGAGGACAACGACGATTTATTTTTTATACTTTGCTCCCAAAGATTCAAAATCAATTTTGGCAAACGCTGCAAACAAATGTAAACAATAATCGGATCCCAATGATCCGTGGTGACTTCATAGACTGACATTGCAGCAAGACAACTATTAACTCCACACTGGATGGTTTTAAGACCAGCAACAGTTTCAACTTCTGTGGAGCGGAGTTCAAACAAACATTTAAGGTGACTATTAACAACGATACGTTTATTCTCATACGTGTCGGACAAAGCTTTCCACGCTAAAGGGAAACTAGTATTGGTGAGTGGAAATCTGGAAATGATTTCACAAGCTTCAGCGGTGGTCTTCTGTATTAAATGGCAGAGACGTTCAATGTCTGATATTTGAGAATTATTTATAAATATGGTGGTGAACAGATCCCGGAAAGTGGGCCAAGATATAAAATCGCCAGAGAAAACTTCAATGTCGATAGGTGGAACAACTAGACTATGCTTATCGACAGGTGGATTGGTGTAGCTATTGTTGGTGGAACTGCACAGTATTCGAAACGGAAGGTGAAGAGAAGGTGATAGGTGGCATATAATTGTGACAATTTGGTGGAGATGGTGAACTCGGTGGAGATGAAACTGGTTGAGATTGTGAAATTGGTTGAGCTATAGCAGGGGTACAATTACTTACAAGACTTTGAAGGCGATTGAAATGCCGATTTATGGTGGATAGATACCAAGAATACGTAATAAATGCTGTATTGTATTTTTCTTCGACGACATCAATTATATAACCCTGTGCATTCTGAGATGTCGCAAGGTATGTTTTGCACTCCTCATAGGTGCACTTTACTTTGTCTCATAACTCTCGAATTTCTGTATTGCGAATTTCGAGGTTGTATACAGAATACTGGGATTCTGGAATTCTCTCAAAGAATTCCACACTTTTTAGGACAATCCCAGTGGCTCTATTGAAGCGGGTGAGAGGAGTTATCGACATTATGTATGGTAAAGAGGGGAGACAACACAGTAGATAATATAATAATAATGCCGAAAAATAAAAAAACTCCTGTATAAACAACGAAGTATGGGGGAATTGTAATTGAATCACAACAAATGTTGCTATAGCTCAAAAGATATTTCAGCAAAACTCCAAAAAAATTGACAACAAATTTTAAAATATCGCAAATGTCTATGTTAAATAGTACAAAGTGAAGACAATTTTGAAGAATTTCTTCGCTATGCCAAACTACTTTAAAAAGACCAGAAGTTTTTTTTCTTTTTCAAATTTCCTCAAATTAAACAAAATATACCAATGAGGAGGTGAATGCAAATAATAGGGTGCGGTTGTCCAAAAAGCAAACAAGAATATATACACTGAGCAAAATTAATGTTTAAAAACAAATCAAAAATATATTTAATTGTTAAAAACAATATTAGCAAGTAATTTTGCTTGGATATATGTAACAACGGCCGATTGTAGGGTGCAAATATCCAAAATATGTAGATAATTCTACAACAAGATTTCAAATATACAAAGTCGTGGAGTAAAACACCACTACAATGAATAAAATTTGCCAAACTAATAGGAAAAACAAGTATTTCCTTACTCCGAATAATGTATGAAATTACCAAGTGTAGGGTGCAAAAGTCCAAAAAATGCTGAAAGCCTTTCAAAATGACTAATGTGCAATGCTTTGAATTGAAAACAACATCAAAAAGGGAGATGTATTCAAAAAACTAATATTTTTCACAAGCACTTTTTTATGCTCCGATTGTGGGCAATAGCTGCCGAATGTAGGGTGCAAATGTCCAAAAATCTAAAAAACCCTACTACCAATCAGTATTTATTTAAAATAATTCAAAAATATTGTTTAATATAATTATTTTTGCAAATGCACAATTTTTGTCGCTTGGTACCACTGTGCTGTAATGTGGTGAATAACGAATATCACACAAAACGGAATAAAACACAAGCGACGCTAGCAGCGAAATGTCTATGCGTAAGCAGCTACGCACGCACACGACGCGAGAAATGATCCAAAAGTGAGAGTTGGAGTCGGCAACAATTGTTGGTGTATTTTCTGTTATACCAAGGTGACGGTAGAAATACGCGCGTGGAATACACGTGTGTTGTTATTGCAAAATGAGAAGGCAAATTCTGCAATGAGAACTTACCAACGTTAGAACAATAATAACAACAGAAGTATGTTTGGTTGGTGATGGATCGATAAAACAAATAAACAAAACAACAAGATGTACTGTGGACTGTGAGGGTGATTGTTGTTATTGTTTATTTAGTAATGCAAATTCTCTAAGGTTTAGAATAGAAAAATAACAACAGCAGCGAATCGTTTGGTTGGCGAATAATGCAACAACAAATAAACCAAACGAAAAATAAGAAGAGAAGAGTTTTGTATGTTGTTATTCCAAATATTACAAATTAATTTCTCTGTTAGAAGAGACGAGGGGGAGATAACAACGCGATAAATTTGTTTGGTTGGTGAGAATTAAAACAACAAATAAACCAAACGAACAAGTTGTTGGGAGATGATGTGTGTTGTTAGTGAAAATGATAAATAGAGAAAAATCGAATATCTTTTATTGGTTAGGGGGAAAAACAACAAGAAAACCAAACTAGCAATATGTGAAGTTGTACTGCAAATAGTCGAATGGAAATAATGTGTGTTGTTATTGCAATATTAGGTGTGTCTGGTTACTTTTCCAGTAACATTTATTCAGTAAGTTCTAGTTCAGAGAGTAAGCCGTTTTTACTCTCTTTTGCGATAGTACTGAGAAAAGTAAACGGACAACATTTAGTAAGATTTAGCAAATAAACAGCTGATTCAAGAAAACATTTGATTTGCGCCAAAATAAACAAACAAACAAAGAACTTGAACTTTGATATTAAAAAAATGTTTTGAATAATTTTTGTGTTTGGTCACAAGACAGCTGATCTCAAAATGGCTGAGTTTGCAAAATCTTACTGAATAAAATTCTTTCAGTAAACTCCAGTACGATTGTTGTTGTTGAACTGTCAAACTTGCTCTCTCACTTGACTCTCTTTTACTGGATTTTTGGGTAAACAGACAACATTTGGTAACAATTGTTACCAAATATCGAGTAAACAGACAGAGCTATTATTTCGAATTCTCACTGAAGGATGATTAGTACAAGGCGATAGAATGCAAATATTTTGTATGGGAGAAAGTATGTATTAAAAAAGGAGTGGTAGTGTAAGTCGACTAAAACGACTTAAATTGCACAAGAAATGAGAACGGGTGATGTGTGTTGCTATGGTGTGATTAAAAATAAGCAATTTAGCGCAAATTAAATAGCAACAACACGGAATAATTCTCCAACGATCAACAATGCTTTTTATGACCACTACACTAGAAACAAATGTGGACTGTATTTTTGGTGAATAGGTGCACGATTGAAAGCACGCGCGTAGGGATTACTGGAAGCCGACCAATGCCAATTCAATTTCGATAGAAATTGGCAAACAAACAAGAAGGCTAACACCCGCGGTAGCTCACTTTTAACGAAATCTGAATTTACGTACCTGGGGTTAGTATGGTGTTTTGTTGATGTGGTGATGAGATGAGAGGTGATATATTCCAATGTTTTCTCCAAAGAATAAAAAAATACGGCTTCTGTCCGTGCAAACAACAACTGGTTAAGATCCGGCTCGAAGGACCAAATGTTTAGGAGGCGGGAGAGCTAAAAAAGGGAGATCGGCAACAAAAAGGCAATGTTTCTCATCCGGCTCGTACGGACCAAATGTTTAGGCGAGGAGTCTGCACTACTCCTCGCCGTTGTGATGTGTGGTGGGGGGTGATTAATTTATTAACTCTGGGGAGCGGGGTGAAGCGACAACAAGAGAACTCCCAAGCAGTTAATGGTGTATGGAAAAGAAATTGCAAAGAAAATAAAACACAAGGATTATTAGGTTAAATATCTTGGATTTATTGGTGGTTCTTTCTTTTCGAGAGTAAGAACAAAATTACCTTTGTAATTTGGGGCGGCGACATAGGCCTGTTAGTAGATAAGCGTAGACGTTATGCGTAGACAAGTTAACTCTAAGGAGGTTGGTCGACAAGTGAACGCTGTGGTTCATGCAATCACAGAGGATTGCGGTGATCGCTGAGGATCGATTGTCGTTTACTACTACATTAACATATTCCAATGGGAGAAAAGTGTCGAGCAAGGAGAGCAAACCAGCAACAACCACCGCTCGGTGGCATCTGTTGAGGTGAACCAGTTTTTTATTGTCTCTATCGATTTGTGACTAAGCTATTCATTTCATGGTCTTTGTGTCAAAGTAAAACTAGAAGCCAACAAAATGGGGACTACGTGTCTTATGTATCTTATGCCTTTAAATGATGCTTATATTTTGAAGCTCGATTTTGAGTGTTTTTTCAATTTTACTTCTAACTTTAATACGCAAAAAAAGGAATTATAAGATTATTGTAGTCGCGAATCTGGGTAATTTAACATATATATTGTGCACAGCTTCAGAGTAATACTCATCCAAAGGTGAAAATTTTGTGCGATCAAATTTCATAAAAACCTATTCTTCGGGCCAAATTTTTAGATCTGTCAACTGAATGACATGGGTTCCCGCGATCAGTAAGGTTTTTTTACGTTTTGGATGATATAAAATCTTGTTCGTGAAAATCCATCTACTAGAACGGCGGGAACTGGCCTTCCAAAAACACGAAATTTGGCAAAAACAAAATGTTTTTGAAAATATCGCGGATTTAATTGAATTTTCTGTCGATCATTTCCGTTTCAATAAATGGCCTGACACGGATTTTGAACCTTTTCGAAAACAGAATTTTAAAAACTTCAGCCGAGAGATGTACCCAATTTATTTAAAAAATAGTTTCATCCATGGTTCTAAATGGACCGCATTGAAATCGGTATAGATCGATGAATTTTTTTAGGGTGCACACCGAAATCTGATGCGCGTTAATGGCATATTGAGTTTTCGGAAATTATTCGGGTTTTGCGAGTTTTTGGGTACTTCAATGCAACATGTAGTACATCTTAGCCGTCAAATGACATTTGAATTGGAAGATAAACTTCAGTACTTCCTGAAAACCGCATGCGCATCGAATGGTTTTGAGGATTACGCGATTTAGATGCAATTTAAAAAGCAGATTTAAACATGTTTAAAATATTTATTATATTATACTTATAAGAATTTGTTTTAGAGTATCTACGGATGTAAGGTGGATTCTTTGTAATTATATATAAATTGGCCATAAAATTGTAATTGGGCTTCAATTACAAAGTAAATAAAGACAAATTAAATTAAAAAAAATATTAGTAGTGTTTGGCGGGTTATTTGGGATACCTGACTATTTTGCAAAAACAAAATACAAATGGCTTAATCCCAGTTTGTTGTTTTTATAAAAAACAACTATTTATTAGTGGGGAATGTATGGCATTGTCCGCCGAGGGGTAAGGCAGGGAAGACTATAGTTTCGGATCTCGCCACTGATCCTCATCAGTTCCCTTAGTTTTTTGTTGGGATAT